ATGTGCAGAAGCTTTTTAGTTTAATGAGGTCCCATTTGTTGATTCTTGACCTTGTTTCCTAAGCAATTGATGTCCGGTTTAGAAATCATTTCCTATACCTATATCTTGTAGGTTTTTGCCAAAGTTTTCTTCTAACAGTTTCAGAGTCTCATGCTTTATATTGACATCTTTGATCCATTTGGAATTGACTTTAGTGCAAGGTGAAAGATAGGGGTTTAGTTTCATTCTTCTACAGGTAGCAAGCCAGTTTTGCCAGCACCATTTGCTGAACATGCTGTCTTTCCTCCAGTGAATGATCTTGGCCCCTTTGTCAAATACCAGGTGGCTGAAATTGCATGTGCTAATATTTGGCTCTTCAATTCTGTTCCATTGATCTTTGGGTCTATTTTTGTGCCAGCACCATGTTTTTTTATGACTGTAGCTCTGTAATATGGTTTAAAATCTGGTATAGTAATCCCCCCAGCATTGCTCTTAGTACTCAGGGTTGCTTTGGCTATCCAAGGTCTTTTGTGCTTCCATATGAATCTTAAGATGGTTTTCTCCAGTTCTGTGAAGAATATGGGGATTTTGACTGGCATTGCAATGAGTCTATAAATGGCTTTTGGTAGGATGGTCATTTTCACAATATTAACTCTTCCAATTCATGAGCATGGAAGATCCTTCATCTTCTGGTGTCTTCCTCAATCTCTTCCTTTAAAGATTTAAAATTTTCATTGTAGAGCTCTTTAATGTCTTTAGTCAGGTGTATTCTGGGATTTTTTTTTGAGGCTATTGTGAAAGGGAGTGCTTCCATGTATTCTTTCTCTAATTGCTTGTTACTGGTATATAGAAAGGCTACAGACTTTTGTATATTAATTTTGTAACCTGCCACTTTACTGAAAGTGTTAATCATTTCTAGGAGTTTTCTGGTGGAATTTTGGCATCTCTTAGATGTCATAGCATCTGCAAAAAGGGATAATTTTATATTCCAATTATTACTCCTTTAATTTCCTTCTCTTGTCTTACTACTCTTTCAAGAGTTTCAAGGACTATGTTAAAGAGGAGGGGAGATAGTGGACAGCCTTATCTGGTTCCTGATTTTAATAGGAATGCTTCCATTTTTTTCTCCATTTAGAATGATGTTGGCTGAGGGTTTGTTGTGTATGGCTTTAATTATGTTGAGGTATGTTCCCTCCAGTCCATTTCCCTCTAGGACTTTGAACATCAGTGCATATTGAATTTTGTCATAAGCCTTCTCTGCATCTATTGAGATGACCGTGTGGTTCTTGCCTTTGAGTCCATTTATATGATTTACGATGTTTATTGACTTACATATATTGAATATTCCCTTATAATGTTCTGGATTTTTGGTGTCTGTTGTGATGTTTCCCCTTTCATCTCTGATTTTGTTGATTTGGAGGTGCTCCTTCCTTTTTTTGGTTAACTGGGCTAAGGGTCTGTCAATTTTGTTTATCTTTTCAAAGAACCAGCTCTTGGATTCATTGATTCTTTGTATTGTTTTCTTTGTTTCTATTTTACTAATTTCTGCTCTGATTTTTGTTATTTCTTCTTGTCTACTGGGTTTGGGTTTCGTTTGCTGTTCCCTTTCAAGTGTTTTGAGTTGCAACGTTAAGTCATTTACTTGTGCTTTTTCCGATTTTTTTGATGTAGGCACTTAGAGCTGTAAACTTCCCTCTAAGAACCACTTTCACCGTGTCCCAGAGGTTTATTGTGTTGTGTTGTCCTTTTCATTTAATTCCAGGAATACTTTTTTTTCTTTCTTAATTTCTCTTTTGACCCATTCATCATTCAGGAATGTGTTGTTTAATCTCCATGTGTTCGTGTAATTACTAGGGTTTCTTCCTGTATTGAAATTAAGCTTTATTGCATTGTGGTCTAATAGAATGCATAGGTGTTGATTGTAAGCTTTATTGCACTGTGGTCTGATAGAATGCATGAAATTATTTCAATATTTTTGTATTTGTTGGTTTGTTTTGTGCCCCAGTATATGGTCGATTTTGGAGATGGTTCCATGGGGTGCTGAGTAGAAAGTGTGTCCTCTGGTGCTTGGGTGGAATACTCAGTAGATATCTGTTAGGTCCATTTGATATATGGTATTGTTTAATTCAGATGTCTGTTTGCCCTGTTGACCTATCTAATGGATGCAGTGGGGTATTGAAGTCCCCTACTGTTAATGAGTTGGGATTAATCTGGGTCTTAAAGTCATGTAGTACTGTTTTTATGAACTTGGGTGCACCAGAGTTTGGTGAATATATGTTCATGGTTGTAATATCTTCTTAGTCAATTGTTCCTTTGATCAGAATGAAATGACTCTCTTTATTGCTTCTGATTAGTTTTAGTTTGAGGTCTATTTTGTCAGATATTAGAATTTCAACTCCTGATTTTTTCTTAGTACCTGATTTTTTCTTAGTAATGTGCCTTTGACATTAAGGTAGTGCCTGTCCTTAAAAGTGAGATCAGTTTCTTGCAGACAACAAAGAGATGGGTTTTGTTTCCTTTTGGGGAGGGGGATCTTTTTGAGACAGGGCCTCCCTATAGCCCCAGGTGTCCTGGAACTCACTAGGTAGACTAGGCTGGCCTTGAACTAACAGAGATCTGCCTGCCTCTTCCTCCCAAGTGCTGGTATTAAAGGCATGTGCCACCATGCTCAGCCAAGGGTTGTTTCTTAATCCATTCAACTAGTGTGTGTCTTTTGACTGGGGAGTTCAGTCCATTGATATTTAAAGTTATTAATGAAAGATGAGTATTGATTCCTGTTGTTTTGATTTCTGTTTGCATTCTTGGTGTGACTGTGAAATTCCACAGTTATACCTTCATTTAATTTCTTTCTGTAACCCCTTGTGTAACCCCTTTCTTCAGCTCTTTGTCTTGCTTCAAGAACTCTCTGAAGGGCTGGTTTTGTGGACCTGAATTCTTTCAGCCCATTCATTTATGTCGTGGAAGATTTTTCTTTCCCCTTTGACTGTAAAAGACGTTTTGGCTGGGTACAGTAATCTGGGTTGGCATCTGTGGTCATTTAGAACTGGGGATACTTTGATCCAGGCTCTTC